TATCTATTCATATCTTTTGCCCACTTTGTAATGGGGCTGTTTGTTTTTTTCTTTTTGGCAAATATGTAATTTTTAAATGAACTCTGACAGTGTGAGTTTATCGCCAGATATGGAATTACCCAGCAGATTTACTCTTTAGGTCCTGTATAAATCAACTATTTCACAGTTATACTTTAGATATTAACCTTTTGAATTTTAATAATAGCTAAACTAAATGTTACTCTGTTATAAGAAAAAAGACTTCATGTTGCAAATAATATAAATAGGGTATTCTGATTATGTCATTGTGTTGCTTTCTTACTATGTTAAATTTATGGGGTAAGAATTTTAAAAAATATAATTTTTGAACTTTTCAAATAAGTAACTGTAGCAATATAAGAGCTACCTGTTTTTCTCGTTTTTGTGTTTTGCATTTCAGGAATCATCCCGGTTATCAGGCCTCCCCGAGTATGTTAAAATAGTGGAAGTTGGACCTCGAGATGGATTGCAGAATGAAAAGGTGGTTTTGTATTAGTTTTATATAGTTTACTTCAAAGGCAAAGTCCAAGCATTATTATTTCTTAAGATTTTAGAGACTTACATGGATTTCATATGTTATGTGATTATGCTTGTTCTAAATCAAATTTATAAATTACAAATAATTGTTTTTAGTTTTATAGTAATGTTCTGTTTCTATTTCGATAGGCTTTGTACAATTTATGTATAAATCAACTTCTTATGTTTTTATAGATTATAGTTCCTACAGATATAAAAATTGAATTTATCAATCAACTTTCCCAAACTGGCTTATCTGTAATAGAAGTGACGAGCTTTGTGTCTTCCAGATGGGTACCACAGGTATGTAGACCTGCATATGTAGTCCATAATTAAATTCTTAATTCCACTTTACCAAAAATTATTAAATACTGTGATATACATTATGATATTAACTTGATATAATTACTAGGGACAAGGCAACAAAGATAACACTGAAGAAAAGGCAAAGAGAGTCATTTAGAATTTTCTCTTGAAATATGACAAGATGATAGATCTTTATCCAGAGCTTTCAGGCATGTGGCAGCAGTCACCACTTCTGAGACTTGACTCTGGAATTAGAAACAGATCACAGTAGTAATTAGCAGCCAGTAAAACACGCTCCCTTCCTAACTTACTTGTTCTCAGATCCCTCAGTCTCTCCTTAGCACTTAATTTCACTGAATACTCTTGATCTCATTTTCCTTGATTACCGTTATTCTCTACTCTTCTGATTCAGTTTTTTCCACAGTTCCTCTTTTTCTGCCATCTCTAACATCTGCTTGGGTTCCCCTAAGATTCGGTTTTCAGTACTTTTCTCTATTGACTTTCTTTTCTTTGGCTATCCTTCCAACATCAGCAGGATGATACTGATCCATGAGGATGACAAATCTGTAACTGTAGTACTGCCCTCCCTGATAAGCTTCAGTTGGAGGTGTCACCTGAACCTCAAACACATTGGGTTAAAATTCATCTCTTATAGTCCATCCTTGACTCCTCAAAAGGCTATCTGTTTTATCCAGTTACTGTCCAACTCAGTTAGGGTTACCATTACCATTACAGAATACCATAAACAGTATAGCTTAAATAACAGAGAGTTATTTGTCACAGTTCTGGAGGATGGGAAGTCCAAGATCAAGGTGCCAGCAAATCCAGTGTCTGGTGAGAATTCCTTTTCTGGTTTGCAGATAGCAATCTTCTCATTGTGTCTTCATATGTGGACAGCAGAGATAGGAAGCCAGCTCTGTGTCTCCTCTTATCATGGTACTAATCCCATTCATGAGGGCTACACCCTTATGACTTAATACACTTCTTAATACCATCATATATAGGTTAGGATTTCAACATTATTAATTTTGAGAAGATACAGACATTCAGCCCATAGTATTTACTGACTCATAAATGTCTTCTTCCTCAATATTGCCTATACTTTTCTTTTCAATCCCACTGATATGTTAGTAATAAATACCCTCATTAACTAGTTATTGTGAGAGTGTCTTCAATGGAGCCTCTCAGCACTGTTTCCCTTTTCTTTATATTTTTCTTCTAAAATAATCTTATGGAAACATTCACCTTCACAAAGTCACATTCCAAGTTCTCTAAGGGCTCCTTCCTCCCCATTGAGAAAACCTGGAAACTCTGTTCCCCTTTTTTTGTGTTTATCCTTAGCTCTTTTAACCTACTACATTGCTGAAACTCCTGCTAAATCAAAGTGCTTCTTGTTTCCTATTTCAGTGCCCGCCTCTTTATCCACTTAGGACCTAACTTGCTTATATACATCTCAATTTCTGCATTTCTCTGCAGTTACAATTGGATGATATAAAAAGGCTTAAAACATTTTTAATTGCAATATATTTGAGGCATCAAAGCCACAGTAAGATCAATAGTATTAGCACAGAGGGTTGTTTTTATTCCATTTTCAACCCACAGAAGGCTGTTTTTATTCCATTTTCATTGTTTATAATTATATATTTTTGTAAATATTTTCTGATTATCTGTTACCTAGACCACAAGCATTATGAAGATAGTGACCATGTCTCTCTTGTTCATCACTATATTCCTAGTGCTGGGTGCATGGTAAGTAGGTGCTTAATAAATACTTGTGGGAGTTCAAGACTAACCTGGGCAACTTGGTGAGACTTCATCTCTAAAATAATTCACAAAAATTAGTCTCATGTGGTAGTACGTATCTATAGTTCCTGCTACTTGGGATGATGAGGCAGAAGGATTGCCTAAGCCCAGCAGGTCGAGGCTGGGGTGGCCATGAGCATGCCACTACACTCCAGCCTAGGTGACAAGAGTGAGACTTCAACTAAAAAAATAAATAAATAAATAAATAAA